CATCATCATCATCATCATCATCATCATCACCATCATCATCATCATCATCATCATCATCACCATCATCATCATCATCATCATCATCATCATCATCATCCCCCCCATGGGTCCGATCGCACGGGAGGGGGGAGGGAGAACCTCGGGGATGGACGGGCGGATGGTGGGGCGGGCCACCGGCGAAGGCGGAGGGGGGGCGCGCGGCAGCGTGCACGCTCGGGGGTGGCCCGGGGAGGAGGACCCGCCTGCCCCCAGAGGTCCCCCGGGAGGGTGCCCCCCGGGAGGCAGGCCTTAAGGTGGTGTCCTCGCGAGGCCCCCGCGCGGGCCTCCTCGTCGTCGTGCGCGCCTTCTCCTCCGGGGAGGCTTGCCTCTAGAAGCTGTCTCTTCCCGGAGAGGGCGGGAGCGCAGGGGCTCTCTCGGGGGCCTCCGCCCGAAAAACTGGGCCAGCGTTGCTTCACCAACTTGCCGGAAATTTGGTCCAGTTTCTTGAGCGCGTTCGCCCTTCCAGCGTTATCACGAACACTCGGCCCAGGTTTGGCTTAAGAAACGTCCGGAAGGTAGCCCAGGTTTCTTCAATAATTAGTTGTCGTTGATCCGCCTGGTGCAACGTTCGAGGTGGTTCGTCGAGTTTCTGCTTGACCGGCAACTGTTGACCAAACTGCGGCAGCACGAACATTGCAGTGCAAATGAGTGGCGATGGTTACCAGCTGCTGGGATTACTGAGTGAGGGCTATCACGTGAGTCTGCTTGCGTTTCCACGCCCCCCCAACGCCGTGCCCCGAAGGGTACGAGTCAACGTCGTTCGGCGTTGTTTTTGTGAGGAAGTCCTGAGCGAGAGCTGCAAACTGTCATTCGTAACGTTGGCAAGTTGCAATCCTATCGCACTTCGTTGCCGTCAACGTCGTTTCGTCTTAGCCAGGCCAGGACGCAGCAAATCGTAACGCCAAGAATTATGGGACTGTTGTCCCCGTGTACGAGGCGTCTTCCCAGAGCGCCATTCGTTCCGATCTCATAGTTGTTTCGTCTTCGAGTCATCACTTTCAGGAGGAAAAGAAACACACAGACACAATGAATCCTCGATTCCCCAGAAAATATGAGAAATATGGGAAGTGGGGGGGAAGACAGAAACCCAGAAAATATGGGGAATTCTTTTATTTGTGTGTATTTATTTGTGTGTCCCAGGGCTCCTTCACACTTGTCGCAAGAGGAGGCCAGCGTCGCGTCATCCGGTGCATTCCAGCTCTGGCCGCTGCGGCCCATCCCAGCCTGGCGCAGTCGAGCTCGGCCCAGCTCCCGTTGTGGAGCGCGCGCGCCTCCGGCGTTCGCGCTTCGCTTCGCTTGCTCAGCAGCGACGTAAAAAAGCTACAGTTCCAAGACTGCGTCTTCGTGCAAGCCCGCTCGAGGAAAGTGCGCCCCCCCCAGATCGGATCTTCGATCACTGACGAGGTCCGTCTGGGTGCCTTTGGGAGCGGGAGGCCCTCCGCAGTTTGCGAGGCATCGCGGCCCTGCGCGCGCTGACGCAGAGTAGTTTACAGGGATCGTGGCAGCGGGAGCGCGGGCGCAGCGCAGGTTACGAGGGTTGCCCATCGGAACGCAGACGCGGCGAACCCCGGGGCACTCTTTTGGAGGCCTGGAAATTGGCACCAACACCAGCGCAGGGGGTTGCCTCCACAAGGGGAAGATGCTCCTAGATTTCGGTGTTGGTGGCAATATTTCGGTCACATTTGAAGCCGGAAAATTGCCACCATCACCGAGATCGGGATCTTCTTTCCTCGGTGGAGGCACACCGCCGATTTTAGTGTTGGTGTCAATCTCTGGGCCTGCCACTCTTGGGCGGCGGCCTGGCCACCTGCGGCCGTGCTGGGGCCGTCTGGGGGGCCCCACGGCCGCTCTCGCCGGAGGCAGCTTTGCACCGGCCTGCCCGCGCGATCCCTGGAGGCGTCTGACAGAAGTCGCCGTCCACTTCTCGGGCCGGACGCAAGGGGGGGATTGGGAAAGGGGGAGGAGGAGGAGGAGGAGGAGGAGGAGGAGGAGGAGGAGGAGGAGGAGGAGGAGGAGGGCTCGAAAGCCAAGGGGCACCATGGATTAGCTCAGGAGGGAGCTCGTCGACCCCCAGTCGCCCACCCATCTCGGGCCGGACGAAAGGGGGGGATTGGGAAAGGGGGGGTTCCGAAATCTGCCGCATGCAGCTGGTTTCGGCCTCGCCGAGGGGCCCATTCCTCGATACATGGGCGCCTCCCGGCGCCGGGAGGCGCCGGGAAAGTCAGCTACGTGAGCTGATTCTCAACCCCCCCCTTTGCTATCCCCCCCTTTCGCCCGACCCGAACTTCGCTCGCGCCATGCCGTCGGGGCGCTGAAGAAGGAGCCCTCTTCGCTGGGGAGGGGCTCGGTGTGCCCTGATTGTTTCAAAGTTTGCCTCGAGTTTTCCTGAGGGCTTCCATAGGGAGTCGAGGTTGAACTTATTGGGAAAAAGGGGGCTTCGTTCCTCATTCAGGGTCAGCGCCTCGACTGCAGGGGCTCCGTGTCGGAGCGGCGGCCACGGCCGACACGGGGCCGCACGGGCCCGTCGGGCCACGAGGAGCCAAAGGGGACGTTGGGGAGGAGGAGGAGGAGGAGGAGGAGGAGAAGGAGGAGGAGGAGGAGGAGGAGGAGGGAGGAGGAGGAGGAGAAGGAGGAGGAGAAGGAGGAGGAAGAGGAGGAGGAGGAGGAGGAGAGGGAAGAGGAGGAGGAGAGGGAGGAGGAGGGGGAGGAGGAGGAGGAAAGGGAGGAGGAGAGGCACGGGATCGGGGCTCGAGCTGAACGGTGTCTCGGCGATCTCGTGGGCCGTTCTCGTTTCGGTCTCGCTTCGCAGCAGAGGCAGAGCGAAGACAGCGAGCAGGAGCGCGATGACACATCGAGCACGAAACACACTGCTTCAGCTCGAGCCCTGCACGGGGTTACTCCCGTCCCGTGGGGCTTCTGAGGGTTCCTCCCGAGGGTCTAGGGCTCCCGAGAGGGGCCATGCGGCATGGTTGTCAACGTGTGTGTGTGTGTGTGTGTGACCGCCGCAAGTCGGCAACGCTACAAAATGGACGCGGCCATACCCGTCGGTCGTTGAATGCAGGTATTTCTGGGTTCCCAGATCCCAATCCACTTTTTGCGCCTTCCTACTTCAAGAATCGGCCTGGTATTGCTGCGTTGTGTCATTCCCTGGGAGGGCCTGAACACCAATCTGCTCGATCCGCATTCCTGCGTCATGCTTCCACCTGCTTCTTCCGACCGGCGGGTAACTTCGGTGGAGCCTCTTGGGCGGTCTGGGATGCCCAGACCGGTCCAGCACCCTCGCCCCTCCCCCTTCCCTTCCCCTCCCCTCGCCCCTCCCCTCCCCCTCCCCCTCCCCTCCCCCCCTCCCCCCCCGCCCCTCCCCTCCCCTCGCCCCTCCCCCCCCTCGCCCCCCCCTCCTCGCCCCTCGCCCCTCCCCTCCCCTCCCCCCCCTCCCCTCCCCCCCTCCCCTCCCCTCCCCCCGCCCCTCCCCTCCCCCTTCCCCCCAGCCGCCCCCCCTCCTCCAGACTGGGCGGACCAGGCTCTCGGGGCCAGAGGGCACTGCGCGCCAGGGAAGCCCCACACACAAAGGGCCCCGGCGAACGCAGACCGCGCCATGGGCACTTCACAGCGCGGCCACGGCTCCCCACGCACTCGTCGAGGAACAGAGAGCAGCATGCACACAAGTCTTCTCGGGCCCGGCGAAAGGGGGGGATGGGGAAAGGGGGGGTTACGAAATCTGCCGCATGCAGCTGGTTTCGGCCCCACCGAGGGGCCCAGTCCTCGATACATGGGCGCCTCCCGGTGCCGGGAGGCGCCGGGAAAATCAGCTACGTGAGCTGATTCTCAAACCCCCCCTTTGCTATCTATCCCCCCCTTTCGCCCGACCCGAAAATCTTCGAAGTGCCGCGCGGGTGTCTCGGATCTGCTCCTGGACACCTCTGGCGGCGCCGCCGGCGGCGCCCCTGGCGCCCGGAGCGCGCCAGGAGGCGGGTGACCAGAGCCGATCCAAGAAATCCGCGCGGAGTTCCGAATGTTTATGGCTCTGCAGTTTTTCATTCCTCTAGGAACGGCCACGGCTCCCCTCGCATTCTGTTCCGTGGCTTTCGGATCTGTTTTGTTTGTTGTGCCGACCTGTTCATATGCTGCCCTGCTGTCTTGCAGGGCTGGATGTTTGGGGTTAGAGTTAGAGGGGAAGGAGGGAAGTGGCACGAGGAGGGGAGGGCCGCGACTGGGAGGAGGGAGAGAGGGAGGAGGGGAAGGAGCAGGGGTCCCTTGACATTTTCTGCTCAAGTATTTCTGGCCCAAGTTATTTTCTTGTCGAGCCCTGTTGCCTGCGGCTGCGTCGCGCATGGCAGCCAGAGTCGACTGCGACATCCCGCGATGGGGCTCGGCGCATTCCTGCGGCGAGTCTCTCTCCGCCGCCTCTTGGGGGAGCACGCCTTCCTGTCTGTGGCAAAGTGGGGCGCCTCTAGAGGTTCGAGGAAGAACAAAACTGCACAGGCACACAAGCTTAAAGTCGGGCCTGTTCGTCTACAGGAGGAATATTCAGAAATAGTCAAAAAAGAATCGGTGGACGATTTTTTGACAATTTTTGATTATTTGTTGTATATGTTTGGGGATATGTTTTATTTTTCGTCCAAAAACCCCTTGTAGGGCGACACGCCCGACTTTACACAAACTGTCGGAGCTTTGCCCGGGGGGGGGAGACCAAGACCCAGAGAATATGGGAAAGCATGGGGAATCTTGTTATATCTGTGTATATTCGTGTGTCCCAGGGCCCCTTCTGACAAACAGAACTGCACAAGCACACAAACCGTCGGAGCTCCGCCCGGATGTCTTGGACCCGCGTCGCGGAGCGCGCCGAGGGGGCGGCGCCGGAGGTGCCCCCGGGGGGGGGCCCCAGCGCCAATCCCTCGGAGGTGGACGGACCTCCTGCCCGCAGGCGTGGACGCTCGCGGATTGGAGCGCCTCTCCGGTCTGTGCGATCGACATGTGTACGGAGAGAATTGGGACGAAGACTAGAGTCAATCTTGATAAGAAGGATGAGCGATGTTCCAAGGTGGCCTTCGCATCCTTCCCGTCGGAGGTTGATAGACCTCCTGCCCTGACACGTAGATTCGCGAATGGGCCGTTGTCGGTTCTCAAGAGGGCGTCGCGGCCGTCGTTTCTGCGGGTCCAGGTCCGTCGATGTTGGTCCCAGGCCGTTTTCACTCAAGGGTGGCTTGCCAAAGGGAGGTTTGTCCACCGCCGAGCCCCAGAAATCCGCGCAGAGGTCCGACAGTTTATGGCCATACCACCGTTTGTTCCTGTAGAGGTGCGGCGCAGGCGCTTCTGAAGCTAACCGCGACACGCGTCGCGCTGGGGGCCGTCACGACTGGCGTCACGGGCGTCACCATAGGCCAGCAGCTGCAGCAGGCCCGGGGCCCGCTCGACGGCGACGTTCTCTTAGCGGGGGGGGAGGTCGAGTGGGTCAACGCGGCCGCGAAACCCACTCGGCGACTACAAAGGGTGTGGCTACGCCGGGGTGCGGTTGGCGATCCGGATGGTTGAGGCTTGGCGGGCACCGCGTTGCTCTCGTCGGGCCTCCTCGGGGCGCGGCGGAGAGCTCTGTCGAGGTCCTCGCCCGCCACCCTGGGTGCCCCCCAGGGTGCCGGTTGCAAACCACACCCTTTGCAGACTACACCCTTCGGAGTCGCCGACCATCTGGGACCACCTCAGCTAGAGGAGCAACAGACGGCATGAGCACATGCTTTCGGAGGCCCGTGTGGGTCCCTTGAGTCTGCGCTGGGCCCGTCCTCCCCTGGCGCGCTGCGCGCGCTGGGGGCGGAGCTGGAGGCGCTGCCAGGGGGGGGGGGTCCAGCGCCGACCCAACCACCTCCCGCGAACCTCCGAGAGTTTGTGTTTCTCCCGGCCTGTGCTCCTCTGCCAACGCTGGAATCAGGCGCTTCCTCATCGAGGAGCCCGGGGGAGCGAAGCACGATTGCCACACCCCCGCATCGAGCTGTGCCGCGGGCTGGGCTCTGGCCGCGGCCCCGTGGGTGCAGGGCAGCCCCACGCGGAGCGTGTCCGTGGACTCGCGCATCCACGGAGTGGCGCCTTGGTGTCCAGACAGCGCGCTTGCCGGTGACCCGCTGCCCGCATGCAGCTGCACGCCCTCCTGGCACGCCCCGGCCCGTCTTTCACGGTCTGATCGGGCCCCTTTCTGGTCTCTGGACGTCTTTGGCTCGTTCGCTTCGTCTCTGTGTTGAGTGGCTTCCAGTGCAGCCCACCGTTCGCTTTGACCAGCGCCCGACGGCCTCGCGCACCCTGGCGTCCGCTGAGCGGAAAGTCCAGATAGCGAGGGCACGGACACGGATGTGCCCGCCGCCCGTGGGAGGAGCTGGAGCCCGCCCTGCAGAGGAGGGTGCCTCTGATCGGCAGGTACCCGGGGGTCGCCAGAGGTGATCCCATAGCCCACGGTGTCTCAACCTTTTCGCGACACCCTCTTGGCATCGCTCGGGCGTGTGCATTCCTTCTCGGCGAGGGCCATCGAGGAGCATCCTAGACCATCGGGGAAAAGACACGCGCGAAACCGAAACATGCAGGGGACATGGGCGTCCGAGCGATGGCAAGCCTTGGAAACCCTGGGGTCCCCTGGGCCTCGTGCGGGGTGCTCTGCAGGCCACGGAGCCTCCTCCTCCTCCTCCTCCTCCTCCTCCTCCTCCTCCTCCTCCTCCTCCCTCCTCCTCCTTTTCCTTTTCCTCCTTCTCCTCCTCCTGACTTGTTTCATGACGTCGACCCCCAGAGGTCTCGACCCATTCCCCGGGACCCCTGTCTCATCCCGTGTCTTGCCTTGACGGCCCCATTGGCCCAGTGAGGCCCCCCAGGGCGGCCGAGAACGGCGCAAAGACCTTGCGAGTCGCGCCTGTGTCTCACGACCCGATGGGGGTCTGGGGCCAGGGGGCTCCCCCAGACCTCCTGGCGTCGTGAAAAAATCACGACGGGAGGTTTTTCGCTATTGTCGCCCTCTGGGGGCCCTTCCCGGGCCTCGGGACCGTCAAAAAAACGATGCAGGACGAAAAACCGGTCCCGGGGAAGGGGTCCAGACCTCTGGGGGGCGACGTCGTGAAAAAATCACGACGTCGGGGGCCAGGGGCACCCCTGGCAACATCCGAAGGTACCTGAGCTTCAAACGGCTCTCCCTCGGCGACGCGGCGCCGCGCTTCGGGCCGGTCACCGTCACGCGCTGCGCGCGGGGCGCGGACGGGGTGGAGCTGGACGTCGGCTTCGAGTTCTCTGGGGACCTCGCGGTGGAGTTCTCGGCGGGCGTCACGACGGTCGAGGTGGCAGGGCTCGCTCCGACGTCCCGATTCTCCCGATCCGACCCGATCCGACGTCGACCCATTCCGATTCCGATTCCGATTCCGATTCCGATTCGGCTTCGGGTTCCGATTTGGGTTCCGATGTTTCAACGGAGGTCTTACTGGCTTGACGACGTCCGCCGATTCGTTTTTTCCCAACTTGGCTGCCGATTTCCGCCGATCCGATTCATATCGATCGCCGATCCGACTTATCGATTCGATTCTGGGCTTTCCTGAGGTGGCCGACGTGGTCATCTGGTGGCTTTCGGCCACCTCCGCCAGCGCCCATGTTTGGGGGACGTCAGCTGGCCGTGACCACCTCACCGATCTGGCCCGGCCACCGATCTGCCCCAGGCATCGAGGGATCCTTCTAGTTGCCATCCTCGTCGTCGCCGTCCTCCTCCTGCTCTTTCTCTTCCCAGCATCGGTTGATACGCAAGAGGGCAGGCGGGTGTAGTTAATCGAAAGACGCCGCCACCCGAGGCTGGAGGGAGTGTCGGTTACGGTCGATAGCCTTGCTTACGATTCATTTTGTGAGCACGGAGTGGTCGAGATTGAACAACCATTCCGCCTGGCCTCTCAAGAAGACTCCCCTCTCTTTGTGGGTCCTCTTTGGCCCCTCGGGGCTTCATTGGGTCTATCTGGGGCCATCTCTTACCAATGCCTGGGCCTTCTTGGTGCTCCCATGGAGCCTACTGGAGCATCCTCATGGCGCGCTTTGAGTAATTTTTCGCGCTCTTGCGGAATCCTTGGTCGCGCAGGAGACACCTCGGTTCATGTCGGGCAGTGGGACGGGAGGTTGTCCTTTTACGGGCATTGCAATCTACCAGGGTTCGTGGCTCTATGATGGAGAACGTAGAGTCATGTACAAAATGTCGTGGCCCTGGCAGCGAGGTTCCAACGTATTTACAAGGACCGTGCCCCTGGGAGCCCGGATCCTGTTCTTTACAAGGGATCGTGCCATGGGAGCGCGGACCCAAAGTAATTGTCAAGGGATCGTCGCCTTGCGTGCGCGGACTCAGCGTACTGCACGATGGATCGTGGCCCCAAGAGGGTGTTGCCAGTGTAATTTGCACAGAATCGCGGTTTTTGGTGCGCGGGTGCAATGTAGAGGGAGCGTTTTTAGTTTTCTATGGTTTACACGGGATCGTGGCCCTCTGAGCATAAGCGTAAGTTTCATAGGTGCTGCCAGCGTAGTTTTCAAAGGATCATCGCCTTCTGTGCACAGATCCAGCGTAATTTACAAGGGATCGTGTCCTTCCAGTGTAGTTTGCCAGGGGTCATGGCCCTGGGAGTGCGGTTCCGGTGCAATTTTAAATGGATCGTGGCTTCTGAAGAGCGGATCCAGCATAGTCGAGTGGGCGTGTCTTCATATCGTGGCCCTGTGAGCGCGGATCCAGAATAATTTGCAATGGATCGTGGCCTTGGGAACTTGGATCGAAAGGTCGTGGCTCTGGGAGCGCGGAGCCTGTGTAGTTTGCAAGGGATCGTGGTCCAGGGAGCGCGGGCCCAATGTAATGTGAAGGGGTTGTGGCCCTTGGAGTGCGGATCCAAAGTGATTTATCAGGGCCCGTGGGAGGCAATCATCCTGACGTTTCCGGGGGCAGGAGGGCACTTGACAGAGGGGGACAGGACACAACTACCGCGTTCAATTTCCGACACCGCCACCAGAACAGCATTGAAGCCGCTGCGATGTGAGTGCTCACAGCGTTGAGACCCGAGTGGGGCCAGCGGATTCGCGGGTCCGTGCACGTCTTGCTGCGCCCTCTTGTGGACGCGCTGAACCCGTGTGGAGGCGTCACCATCTACTGCACGGACCGGCCAACCCTTGATCTTAAGATCAGGGCGGGGAGCGAATTGTTGCCCAACCTGTACGACCTGGTGCGCGACACCGTCGACGACGTCATTGCCAGCATCGTCGTGGTGCCCAACTGCGTCGCGGTGTCGATCCCGACGCCAGGGTCACAGGACGCGGGGGATTGGGTCAGCCTGAGGTACCCCCTGCCCACGGGCATCGTCCGGGTCACCGTCGAGCAGCTGGTGGGCTCCCCAGAGGCGCCCGTCGCGTCGCCGTACGTCCAGATGCACGTCGGCGCTGCCACGTGGCGAACGCCGGTGGGAGAGCACGCGGGCCATGCCGCCAGCTGGGCCGCGGGCAACGTCCAGGACTTTGCCATCTACACCGACAGCCAGTGCGTGGAGCTGCGGGCGTTCAGCGGGGGCGCGCTCAGCCTGGACGGCCTGCTGGGCCGCGCGCGCGTGCCGGTGGCCCGCCTGCTCGGCCACGGCGTGGAGGTGCCCCTCGAGCTGCCCGGCGGCGGGGGGTCCGGGCGCACGCTCGTTGTGCGTGGCGACCAGGAAGGAAGCACACGGTAGTTTCGTGGGGCCATGGCGCGCCGGCGGCGCCAGCGAGGGCGTTCGAGGTTGAGTTCTGCGACGCGGGAGCACCGACGGACACGGTGAACCCGCTGGACCCAACGGAATCCAACCTTGAACGACTGACGCGGCGTCATAAACCTTTGCGCCCGCCGACGCCGCACGAACCTGCCGTAGGCACAGACACACATAGAAGTAAATGTCCATGATCGTGTGGGTGGGGACATGTGGGGCATGGTGGGGGAGGCGACGGTCCAGAAGGCTGGTGGGGATATTTGGAACAGACGGCGCGTAGTTTGTGCATGTTTGTTTGCTTGTGTCTCCCCAGGTGCCTCTAGGCGATCAGGGGCAAGGATAGGAGGGTGGATGGGCATCGGGGGGATGCATCGGCACCCAATCGCCCATTGATCGCCGATAGGGGTCTGGTGGCACCAACCCGCCCAGGGGCGTGCGGATTTGCTATCGGGGGCCTGCCGTCGATCTATCATCGATGCATCGCCGATTCCAGGCCGATGTTCTTCCCCGTGCCAGTCCCTCTCCTATCTCGGCGGCGAGCGAGGGGGAAAGTGAGAAGGGGCGGGCCTTCTCAGAAGGCTCGGAAGTCCCCCGGCCTTCTGAGGAGTTTCCTGAGCCCTCCCCGAAGACAGAAGACTTCTCAGAAGGCGCGAGGACTTCTGAGAAGTCCCGCCGCCTTCTGAGAAGGCCTTCTCGTTCTCACTTCCCCCCGGGCGCTCCGCCGAATATGTTTTTTGGGTCATAACTCAGGTCTCCGGCGGCCGTTCGGGGCGATCCCGCCACCCCTCGAACGCTCTCGCCGAGGCGCAGCCGTTGGAACGCATCCCGAGGCTGGAACACGGTCGAGCACCGACGAGAACGCCCGAAAAGCCTGGAGCCTCGAGCCCGAAACCGCCCCCCCTCGATCGCCCCCCTCCCGTCGCTGCCCCTCAGGCGAGTGGCTCGCCCTGGAGGGCGCCCCGCCCCCGGCGCCGCTGCCGCCCGCGGCGCCGCCGCAGGGCCGCCAAGGGGCCCGCGGCGGGCGGCTGCTCGGCGCGCTCTCGCGGAAGCCGTGAGGGAGGAAGGGGGAAAGGGTCCTCCTCCCCCTCCTCCTCCTCCCCCTCCTCCTCCTCCTCCTCCTCCTCCTCCTCCTCCTCCTCCTCCTCCTCCTCCTCCCGTAGCCATTTTGGCTCAAGCCATTTTGGCTCAAGTGTTCCGGCTCAGGACTTGACATTCTGGCGTGGGGGATTCTGCGGCCCCCGTCCGCTCCTGCGCCATGTCTAATGATGGCCGCCCGTACCTCCAGTGCAGTCAGTGTGAGCACAGCTGGATCTATGCGCATAATCCTCGTACTCATTCTAAGTTTTGTTGGTCGGCCTTCCCTGGCCGATCGGATCGCCCAGACTCCCATGCTGGCCATGGCAAGGGAAAGGGGAAAGGAGCAGGGAGCAAGGGAGTGCCGAATGGGAAAGGTCCCAAGATGCAGGTGTATTTGCGTGACTCCGTGCATGCCCAGCAGACGGACGAGGACGACGTGCGGCACTTGGAGGTCCTTATCCAGGCCGAGCAGTCGTTTCTTGATGAACTCAATGGGTTGGCTAAGTATTGTCCGGTCGACGATGAGGTCGCTCGTCTTTCGCGCTCCTTGGCTTCGCATCGTCGTCAGCGGTCGGCTCTGCTCACGCCGGTGCAGCAGAAGAGCAGGATCGAGAGCCACATTGATTGGACTACGGAACGCATGGGGAAAGTGGACTCTCAGCTCGCTCAGGTTGAATCTGACCTCTTGGAGCTTCAAGCGCGCCGGGCCGTCTTGTCTGGCAGGAAGGCCCAGCTCGAGGATGTGTTGGGAAATTGGCAGCGTCAGCTTGATGAATTGGTTGTCCCGGAAGCTGCACCAGATGTTCCACTTCCAGCGGCAGCTCTCGCCACCGTACTTTCAGCAGTACCTGATAATTTCAAGTCTGATGCAGCATTCATGGTGGCAGTCCAGAGTTTGGATGGTGCTGTATCGGGTGCTCCTCAGGACCCGGGTCTTCTCAAAGATTCCCCCACTCCTCCGGCCTCGCCTCGTTCCCGCCCCCCTTCCCTGCCCAGGGATGGTGGGGGTGGGTCGTCTGGTCGGGGGGTTGGGTTCCGTCGCTACGCAGCGGCGGCTGCTTCGTCAGGCACGCGCCGTAAGGACAGCAACTACTGGTCTGAGTATCTCGATGAGGACGGCTTCGTTGATGATGGTTGGGATCCTAACGGCGCTGGGTATGACGTTCGCGACCCTGCGGACGACGGTTTTGTTGATGATGGTTCTGCTTTCGCAGGCGGCAGCTCGCGTCGTTCGAAGCGTGCGTTGGAGAGGGACGCCGAGGCGGAGATGGCGGATTCTAATGCACTTCCTGGCGATGCGGGCCGCCCTAAATCTCCAGGGTACTATCTCCGTGACGGGCCAGCTTGGCCTGTCCCACGGTACCCCATCAAGTGTTTTACCATGGTCAAGAAGGGCCGCCAGGAATCGTCGTGTTCGTGGATGGCGCATCGCTACGGCGAATATTACGTCTTGGTCTTCTGGGCCCACTCTGCTTTCTGGGTGTGGCTCCCGCTTTGATGCTGTATGCGTTCAGGAGCTCATGAGACCTGCTGCAGCTATCGATGAGGCCGTGGTGCAGGCCCATCGTGCCGGCTTTCGTGCACTCTTGCACCCCTCGGACCCTACGGAGGCAGGCGGGTTGACTTGCGGAGTGGGGGTCCTGTGCACATGGTCCACGGCATTGAAACCCTTGGACCTTGGATTGGATGATCTGCCGTCTTGCTCACGATTTATTGCTTCCACTTGGTACGGTATCGTTCCGAATGGTGTCACATTGTATTCGTTGTATTTGCATTCCGGGAACGAGCCTGGCACTCGCGAGGCTAATACGGAGCTCTTGTACCAGGTGGCTTCTGTCGTGAAGGCGGCCGGGACTCTTTCCGTGATCGGGGCCGACGGGCAGATGGACCCACGCCTCTTCCGCGACTCTGGCTGGTTGGATTTGGTTGGTGGGGTGATGGTTCACCCTGATGAGGTTACATATATCTCTGGGCCTGCTGAGTCTCTCATTGATTATTTTGTCGTTCACCCAATTTTCGCTTCGGATGTGCGTTGTTGGGTCCAGCCTTCCACTGATATTGCGAAGCATCAGCTGGTTGTTCTGGAAATCCAGTCTTCTGTTCAGCGGCGTCTTGTCCGTCAAGTGAAGCGGCCTCCAGCGATTTCGGTGGAGGTTCCTCAGGGGTGCTCGCCTGAGCCTCCGCAGTACGATGACATCTTCGCGGCTGAACTGCGCGCTGACACTCTGGACGGGGCTACCTCACAATGGCTCCAACGAGCGGCAGCTGAGCTCCTGGGCCTCCACCAGATGGAAACCTCCAAACAGGTATTTTGGGGCCAGCCCTTGGAGTTCAAGATGGTTTCAGTTTTGACGTTATGCAAGGGGCGCCCCTTTGCTGGCTGCCATGCTCGGTTGTGGCGCCATTTGGCCAACAGACTGGACACCCCTCATTCAATTGCGTGAGGCTTCCAGACTTCCGGATGCGTGCACATGTGCTGCGAAGATTCGCCGGTACCGCCCGAATCCCCGCGAAGGGAGCCCTCCTGTTGAGTGGGCGTGGTGGCAGGAACAGGTGTTCCATCTTCCTTTGCTATCTCTTCTCCAGCTTCAGGACCTCCATGATCACATTGACTTGATGGCTTCTGCGTTGGAGGCCAAGGCGGCGGCTGATCGTCATAAGTCGTGGAAGACGTGGGCGTCTACCGAGGCGTCGAAGGCTTCGTCGTCGGCCTTTCCGCTTTCTCCGAGGCTCGGATGCCTGGGTCGATTTCGAGTTGGACCCGGACGTCACGCACGAGCCCATGGGTACGCCGATGCATCATATCGGAGCTCGTCAGAACTTCTGGCACCCCATCTGGGGGGTGGACGCGGAGTACGAGGCCCCAGTCTTTCCTTCGATGTCCCCTGATGATTTGGATTTGCTGGTGATGCCGACACCCGCCCAGATCCGGAAGGTTGCCTCGCGTTTTAAAGTCAGGACGTCTGTTGGATGCGACTGGCTGCACCCTCGGCACGTCGCGCAGCTGTCAGATGACTGTCTTCGTTGCCCCATTGCCCTGTGGCGCACGATGCTTCGACTCGGCCGTCCTCCGACCCTGTTGAGTTATGGTGTCATGTCCTTGATCCCGAAAGACACTAGTGATCGTCCTGTTGCTTGCTTTGCTACGACGGTTCGGATCCTCCTTCGTTGGTTACGTCGTACTTACGGTCAGCGATTTTCGGGCTCCACGGCGAGGGACTATTTATTTGGCACAACCGGCAACTCTAGTTTGGCATGCGTGTGGCGCCAAGCAGTGATGGCCGAAGTAGCCCATGCGCGAGGGTGGGCGAGCTTGGCTTTGTTACTCGATATCGCGAAGGCGATTGAGCACGTTATTCACCGGGTGCTTGTCCCGAGGGCCCTTCGATTGGGTTTCAACCCTTGGCTGTTGAAATTTCTCCTGTCGCTCTACACTGGGCCGCGCTTCATTTCGGTGCAGGGCCTGTGCGGGGACATCGTCAAGGCCACTCGGACAATTATTGCTGGGTGTGCGTTTGCAGACCTGTTGATGCGCTGCATGATCGCCCCCGACCTCGACGTCCAGGTCGGTGCTTTCAAGTATGCCCAGTACGGCGTGGTGGCCGACGTCCAATTCATCATGATCGGGACTGTCCGGTTTCTCGCTGATCGGGCCCCTGTGGTTGCAGCAGCTTTGATGCGCGCCTTGAATTGCAATGCGCAACTCCCTGTGTCCGTTGACCCTAAAAAGCTTGTCTTGCTGCGTTCTGACCCTTCTGTTGCACGTGACGTGATTGCTGCCACGCGGCCGCTTGCTCCCCTAGCAGGCCGGCCGTTGCCCGCCGCGGCGAGAAATTTGGGAGTGGACTTCGCACTCGTGCCTCGCCGTGGGCTGCTCCGTCGCGTCCGGCAGAAACGCTTCAAGGGCGCATCGCA